CCATATAGGATTTTAGAAAAGAACGCAAAGAACTAGCGTGCGAACTTACCACAATGTGGATTTTAGAAAGTGCACAAAGCCTTCATGTGCACACTTACCATAACATGGATTTTAGGATACCGTTCTAAGGGGCTCTCGTGGCACTCTGAAAGAGCAGCTCATAGATGGAATGGTGCATCCCAAAACCAATATGTTTGAGAGTCACCAACTCGATCTAAGGCATAAAGCTGGATTGGCTAGCAGTAAATCTCTAGCTGGGGGGGCAAACACCCAGCTCTCAAACGAGAGGGGAGCTCGCAATAATTTACTTAGCTGAGGGAGCAACACACCCAGTTCTGAATCGAGAGGGGGACACGGACCTTCAGCATGTTCCAATGCTGGAACTGCTAGCAGTAAGTTTCCGGGCTGAGGGAGCATAGACCCAGTTCTCAACGAGAGAGGGGGCTCGCACAGCATGATCATTAGAAATCAGAGGGTAAGCGTACTGCAAGCTAACCAAAAAAACTCAGTGCATCAGAGAGGCGGAGTGAAGGGCCTATGCTCACCTGATGCTGCTGGTTCCAGGTGCTCTGGGGAAAAAACAGAGAACTCAACTCTCACGTGAGAGGATAACTCCGGATTCAGAAAGAATAGCGCGCTCATAGGCAACCCTTTGGAACTTCGAACTGCGTCCTCTAGGGGGCGCTATGGGGAATGCCTCGTCATGACCCCTGTCTGAAGCATACATTGAAAAAACACCAATAACAAGTTGGCCGGCGACAGCCCATGACGTCACTACCGGTGCGACTATTAATATAAATAGGCGCCGGGAGAACATGTCATTCACTTCTTTGTCTGAAGCTTGCGTTCGAAGCATGGCAGGAAGCCTAGAGGACGCAATGTCTTGTTTCCTACTCAGGGAACCACGGTTACATAAGTAACCTGAGACGTTCCCTTTCAAGGGAACTTTGAACTGCGTCCTCTAGGGGGCGCTATGGGGACCGGTATACCCATGCCGCCATGCTGAGGGGAATGCGGGCCAGAACCATGGCGAGCATTAAGTACCAACTTTACCATTTTCATGGTGAGTTGCCCCTGGGACGTCAGACGGTTTGTCCGTGACTTTATCCCCTATGGCCAAAGGCCTAGGCTACATACCCAAACTTACCTGTTAGGGCCAGACTCCTGGGCCCGGGGTAGAGCTCCAGGCTTGGAATAAAATAGATTCCTTTAAGGGGATACGACCAAGAGCCTAGTATCATACTAAGTCTTGGCCTGTCACACAGGGGCTACCGCTTCCTCTTAAATAAGCTCTGAAAGGAACTGTCTCAACAGACCCCTAGTAGCAACACCCTGTTAAAGAAGGTATCCTAGGATACCTACGTGAAGTGGCACCCAAGGTGAATGGGGCTCTAATCAGCTCAAGAAAGGGCACGAAGCAACCGCGCGAAGCCCTCTCCATATAGGATTTTAGAAAAGAACGCAAAGAACTAGCGTGCGAACTTACCACAATGTGGATTTTAGAAAGTGCACAAAGCCTTCATGTGCACACTTACCATAACATGGATTTTAGGATACCGTTCTAAGGGGCTCTCGTGGCACTCTGAAAGAGCAGCTCATAGATGGAATGGTGCATCCCAAAACCAATATGTTTGAGAGTCACCAACTTGATCTAAGGCATAAAGCTGGATTGGCTAGCAGTAAATCTCTAGCTGGGGGGGCAAACACCCAGCTCTCAAACGAGAGGGGAGCTCGCAATAATTTACTTAGCTGAGGGAGCAACACACCCAGTTCTGAATCGAGAGGGGGACACGGACCTTCAGCATGTTCCAATGCTGGAACTGCTAGCAGTAAGTTTCCGGGCTGAGGGAGCATAGACCCAGTTCTCAACGAGAGAGGGGGCTCGCACAGCATGATCATTAGAAATCAGAGGGTAAGCGTACTGCAAGCTAACCAAAAAAACTCAGTGCATCAGAGAGGCGGAGTGAAGGGCCTATGCTCACCTGATGCTGCTGGTTCCAGGTGCTCTGGGGAAAAAACAGAGAACTCAACTCTCACGTGAGAGGATAACTCCGGATTCAGAAAGAATAGCGCGCTCATAGGCAACCCTTTGGTAAAAAGGGGAGCACTGCTAATATTACCACGAGAGCAGCCCACGGAGCGAACCCGGGCGCTCGATAGGAAGCAGCATGCTCATAGTAACCCTCAATGGTGAGGGGAGCGATACTTCCAAGTGTGTCAAGCTAGCAGTAAGTTTCCGGGCTGAGGGAGCATAGACCCAGTTCTCAACGAGAGAGGGGGCTCGCACAGCATGATCATTAGAAATCAGAGGGTAAGCGTACTGCAAGCTAACCAAAAAAACTCAGTGCATCAGAGAGGCGGAGTGAAGGGCCTATGCTCACCTGATGCTGCTGGTTCCAGGTGCTCTGGGGAAAAAACAGAGAACTCAACTCTCACGTGAGAGGATAACTCCGGATTCAGAAAGAATAGCGCGCTCATAGGCAACCCTTTGGTAAAAAGGGGAGCACTGCTAATATTACCACGAGAGCAGCCCACGGAGCGAACCCGGGCGCTCGATAGGAAGCAGCATGCTCATAGTAACCTCAATGGTGAGGGGAGCCATACTTCCAAGTGTGTCAATTAGATGCACACTGGTTGAGTGGAGCCCAAGGTACCGGGGTCTAACCAACTCAGAGAAAGGGAACGAAGTTATAACGCGTAACCCTTACCGTACAGGATTTCAGAAAGTGCGCAAAGTCTAGCGTGCACTATAGCCTTCTGTGCCTGTCTCTGATCCTCAGACTGAGACGGACCAGGACCCCAGGACGGGCTCAGACCTGGACCTTTGTGGAATGAAGAATTTGAAGGCCGCTGAACGTGCCTTCGCCTCCCTGAACTTCTTGACCACCGTCTCAACGGAGGTACCGAAAAGTTCGGAAGGCGAAACCGGAGCATCGAAAAGAAAGCCCCTCTCATTCTTCCCGATATCTGCCAGGTTCACCCACAGATGTCTCTCCGTTACTACCATTGCCGCCATAGACCTGCCAATAATGGAGGCGGCCTGCTTAGTAGCACGGAGAGCAAGATCCGTGGTGCGGCGCAGCTCAGCTACCTCATCAGGAGAAAGGCCCTCCAGCCTGATACGCCTGGAGCACCGCCATAGTGTGCAACGAAGCCACAGCCTGACCTGCTGCTGCGTATGCCCTGCCATTTAAGCGCGAAGGGGCTTAGATGGCAAGGAGGGAGTATTAAGGGAGGACGTCTCACCCATAGAGAGATGGCTAGTCAGCGTCTCTTCTACAGGGGGCATCCTCTCATAGCCGTTTTCACGCATCGCCTCAACATTCTGCTAGTGCTCGCCATAATAATAAGATGGAGATCGCTCTTACCACGTTCAAATGTACGCTTCAAACAAAACAGTCATTGAAGACAAAGAAGTGAATGACATGTTCTCCCGGCGCCTATTTATACTAATAGTCGCACCGTTAGTGACGTCATGGGCTGTCGCCGGCCAACGTGTTGTTGGTGTTTTTTCAATGTATGCTTCAGACAGGGGTCACGACGAGGCGTTCCCCATAGCACCTCCTAGAGGACGCAGTTCGTAATTCCCTTGAAAGGGAATCAGGGTCACTCTTAATACATATCTATTGAAAGAATGAGCTAACCTACAAAGGGACACTTTTTATGAGTATTTGAATGTATTGAAATATTCCAAGTGCTAGGACGCATTTTGTTGTATGGGGTGATTTTGCTTTTAGTTGTCTCCAAAACTATACAGTAAAATGCCTTGAAAATTAATAGAGTGATAGTCAGGGTCACTCCGAATACATATTAATTGAAAGAATGAGCTAACCTATAAACGAACATTTTTTATGAGTGTTGGAATATACGGAAATAATCAAAATTCAACAATGGAGTTTGATGGTTTGGGTGATTTTGCTTTTAGTTGTCTCCAAAACTATACAGTAAAATGCCTTGAAAATTAATAGAGTGATAGTCAGGGTCACTCCGAATACATATTAATTGAAAGAATGAGCTAACCTATAAAGGAACATTTTATATGAGTGTTGGAATATGCGGAAATAATCAAAGTGCAACAATGGAGTTTGATGTTTGGGTGATTTTGCTTTTAGTTTTCTCCAAAACTGTACAGTAAAATGCCTGAAAATGAAGACAGTGATAGTCAGGGTCACTCTGAATACATATGAATTGAAAGAATGAGCTAACCTTTAAAGGAACACTTTTTATGAGTGTTGGAATACTGGACACAGTGGAAGTGCTAGGACGCATTTTGTTGTTATACACACTCACACACACACAAACATTAAATAAAAAAAAACAATGATTATAAAACATTAATATTAACATTTATAAACATTAATAAATTATTTATAATAATGTACAATACAAATGTTTATGTACAAAAATAATGTATTTACAAACTAAAAATAAAAGTTAAAATAAGCCAATTATAAAGGAAACGTCGGTATGACAGCTTCTTTACATGCATTTTGACTGCTCTCAGCACCGCAAGTGCACAATTACACGCGCAAGACAAAAAAAAGTGCGGCTGGCTTGACCGTGCATTTTCAAAGCGCGGCTGGTTTGACTGCAGTGTTCAAATTTAAGGGGAGGAAAAACAAACAAACAAACAAAAACTTATATTTTCTCTCGGTTTTCCTGCATGAAAATTGAGCATGTGAAGTCGTTCCAAATTAAGTTTGTCATTGTTGTTGTTCATCTTGTTTCTCCTCTTATTTATTATTACTTGATATGCTACATATTAACCATTTTTAATTGGTTAATTGGTTTGATTTCAATTTTTTCAAACCCTCATCCACATCCGAAAATGAGGGGTATGATGGGACCCCTCAATTCGAACAATGGTGGCTCCCATGTCATATACATACTGGCTTAGGCAAATAAAACAGGAAGTATGGAAATTATGTTTAACTGACAGAAAGCACGATTTCCTAAATGTCGACTTTAGGATCTTTTAAGGTGTCTGGAAAAACGCTGCCATGAGTGAGTCAAGTGAAACCAAAGATAATGTTACATCCAGCCTTGAGGACAAAAGCAGCGGCAGCTGCTCCCCTACTGAACCCCACACATCCAATCAATCCGAAAGGTATGTTTGTTTATTTATTTATTTATTGTTTATTAATGATTCAAAAATCTCTGCATGTAATCCTATTGGTTAATTTGATGGCTTCGAACAGAACAACGATTAAAAAGAGATTCTTTGTTCAGTTCCTGATGTTGACTTGATTCCCTGAATGTTTTTGTAGTGTTGAGGTTCATCAGCAGAAGAGAGCTGCCTCTTCAGTGATTAGCCATGTTTCTATGAAGAGTGATGCATCAATGGATCCTCCAGTTAAATTCCAGGAGGAAGATCAGAGGTAATACACACTTATTTAGTGAGGCTATAGTGATCTGGCTGACATCTTTCTCATCATAAGCCAACATTCAAAATATTTATTTTCTAGTTTAGTTTGGTAAATGTCTGGACTTTGGACAGGATGCCGCATCACCACCTCGGGTGTGCATTATTTTCATATATATATATATATAGGGTGATATTCAGTGCTCATTTTCAGTTTTATGGACAAATTTAAGCCTACATTGTTGTTGCAAATTCTTTATTTTTTCAACCATTTTAGTTAGGAGCCTTGATTATGCAATCATTACAATGATTGCTATAAGCTAATATTTACAAAGTGACCTTCAGTCATTCAAGCTGTACATTTTATCAGCATTAAACCCATGAATTTGTGTTATTTGTGAAATGCTCTACCAGTTGAGCTGCACATTTATTTGATTTCCCTTACACTGTTTACACAGAATGATGACATCCTTCTCTTTATTAACGAATTAGGCGTTTCAGCTATTAAATCACTGTATGTTCTGTTCTGTCAAAGTCTCTCGGGAGATTGGCTCAGCTCTTCTGCGCACACCCATGTATCTGTTCAGAGTAACTGGTCAATGGAGCCACCAACTAATCTCCATATGACTGATTCTCCCGTCCAACGGTTTGTATTCATTTTGCCTGATTCTTAAAAACACTCATAGATATTCAATCATATTTTTCATCAATTTTCAAGTTTAATACTTTGTTTTAAATGCAGAGAGCAGCCAACAGAAATGCACCACCAATCGACCCCAAAGACACAAATGGCCCTTGCTGCTATTTTGCGGGTTAGCCAATTTATTTATTTACTTTTTACATTATTTACATTCAAAAGAAGAGTAAAATATTCAATAAAGTGTCTCTTTTTCATCTTAGCAACTTCAATGCAATGTGATCACTTTTGTAAAGAAGGAACTCAGAAAAATCGACAGCGTATTGAACCCTGATCTCACAGAGTGTACAAAGAGTCCACCAGATGAAGAAGACGAATTTGCTCTTGAAGCCAGAGAAGCAACAGTCAAAATCACATTACATATTTTGAAGTGTATGAAGGAGCAAAGCCTCTTTGACAAACTTCTTCAATGTTAGTATATGTGTATATGCATGGTTAGAGCATATAGTTTACATTAAGGGCAGACAAAGAGGAGTAACAATTTGTTTCTTATTTTATGTAGTTCATCAAATTGATGCTTGTCAGCAAAAGCTTAAATCCAGTTTGAAGAACAAGAGCCAATGTATATTTGAAGGTATTGCTAAGCAGGCAAATCCAGCCCTACTCAACAAAATCTACACAGAGCTCTACATCACAGAAGGAGGGATTGGAGAAGTCAATAATGAGCATGAGGTGAGACAGATTGGACACCAGAGACACAGGAAACTCCAATCAAATGCAATGACATCTTTAAAGCCTTACCTGGACAAAACAAGCCCATCAGAACCGTACTGACTAAAGGAGTTGCTGGAATTGGAAAAACAGTCTCTGTGCAGAAGTTTGTTCTGGACTGGACTGAAGGAAAAGCCAACCAAGATGTTCATTTTGTGTTTCCATTGTTTTTTCGGGAGCTGAATTTGATTGGCAAAGAGCAGTACACACTGGAGCAACTTGTTTATTTGTTCTTTAGAGAAATCGAGGGATTCAAACTTTCAAACTTGGAGAAGTTCAAAGTCATATTTATCTTTGATGGTTTGGATGAGTGCCGACTGCCTCTTGATTTTAGGAACAGCAAAAGGTGCTCTGATATAACTGAAACGGCCTCTGTGGATGTGCTGCTGACCAATCTCATCAAGGGGAATCTGCTTCCATCAGCTCTCCTCTGGATCACCTCTCGACCAGCAGCAGCCAGTCAGATCCCTCCCGAGTGTGTCGACCAGGTCACAGAGGTACGAGGGTTCAATGACCCTCAGAAGGATGAGTATTTCAGGAAGAGAATCAGTGATCAGAGTCTGGCCAATAGAATCATCTCACACATGAAATCATCAAGGAGCCTCTACATCATGTGTCACATCCCAGTCTTCTGCTGGATTTCAGCCACTGTTCTACAGAGAATGTTGAGTGAAGCAGAGAGTTGTCAGATCCCCAAGTCTCTAACTGAAATGTACACACATTTCCTGATCTTCCAGACATTGCAGATGAAAGATAAGTACAAGGAACTACATCACTTGGATCCACACTTGAGTAGAAACAACATCATGTCGCTTGGAAAACTGGCCTTTCGGCAACTGAGGAAAGGTTTTGTGATCTTCTACGAAGAAGACCTGATAGAGTGTGGCATTGATGTCAAGGATGCATCAGTATATTCAGGACTTTGCACCCAGATCCTCTGGGAGGAGTTCGGCCTATACCAAAAGAAGGTCTTTTGTTTTGTGCATCTGAGTTTCCAAGAGTACCTTGCTGCTTTGTTTGTTCACCTTCACTGGTTTACAACTCAAAATCCCAGTAGCGATGAATTCAAGATACCATTCCAAGACACAGACTTTGGGGAGCTCTGCATGGATTCATCTCTGTTTGATCTACACAAGAGTGCAGTAAATCAGGCTTTAAAGTCAAGGAATGGGCACTTTGACCTTTTCCTCCGCTTCCTCCTCGGCCTTTCACAGGAGCGCAGTGAGACCTTGTTTCGCCATCTTTCAATACAAATAGGACACATCACACACAGCAATGAGAACACGGTCACGTACATAAAAGAAAAGCTTGGGACAGGTCTTAGCCCCGAGAGGTCTATCAATCTTTTCCACTGCCTCAATGAACTGAACGACCACTCTCTTGTCAAGGAAATCCAAACGTACCTTCACTCCGGACAACTTTCAATGGAGGTACTTTCAAATGCGCAGTGGTCGGCTCTAGTCTTTGTGCTGCTCACCAGTGATGAAGGACTGGAGGTTTTTGACTTGAGAAAATTCTTCAAATCAGATGAGTGTCTTTTCAAGCTTCATCCCGTTATCAAAGCCAGTCGGATTGCAATGTAAGTGCCATCAAACTTCTCATTTCAAAGTACAGGTACAGTTTTGAAGATATGGTAAGAGATTTGTTTTATAATTCTTAGATTGTCCTCATGTAAACTGACGAAGAAAAGCTGTTCACCTTTGGCTTCTGTTCTTGAGTCCAATCCCAATGTCCTGAGAGAACTGGACCTGAGTTTCAATGACCTTGGAGACAAAGGGGTGAAAAGTCTCTGCTCTGGACTGAGGAGTCCACATTGCAAACTACAGACACTAAAGTACATTTCTGCCTCTAGCTTACCTACAGTATTAAAATCCAACACATATCACAGATGTCATAATACAGTTGGTAAATGGCTATCCCTCTCCATTGTTTCCTTCTAGACTGGAGTTTTGTGGATTCAGAAGAGACAGCTGTTCAGCCCTTGTTGCTGCTCTTACGTCAAACCCATCACATCTTAAGGAGCTGGATTTGAGCTACAATAACATTGGAAATGATGCAACAACCAGGCTTTTGGGTTTAGTGCCAGACTGTGGGCTGGAGACTCTTAGGTCTTTATTTTTGTTTTATTTTTTTCCAGTGACTTGGTGGATATTGATATGATAGTTATCAGTTTAGTTCAGGAGTCAAAATCCTTCAGCCAAATTCCCTCTTTCAGTAATCCTTTGTTGAAGTCACACAACTCATCTTTGGATGGGTTGGAAAATGTGACAAAATTCATCTTTCCAACCAAACCGTGCCCCGCTGGTTATGCACTAAATTGTGCAGAGGATGTGTTAATTTGCTCAACCCTGTGGTAACATGGCACAACGCAGCACAGAACTATTTGACTTCCCAAATTGCTAAAACAGAACTAGTAGAAAGAGTTGATGACTATATTGCTGACATTCAATCATTCAACAGATATTAATTTTCTCTTGCAGGCTTTCAAGCTGTGGGATCACAAAGGAGGCCTGTGCTTTCCTCACATCTGCGCTGAGTTCAAAACCCTGCCAACTTAAGAAACTGGACCTAAGTGATAATAGACTTTGGGATTTAGGAGTTGGGATGTTTTCTGGTTTACTTGCAAACCCAAACTGTAACCTCGAAGAGTTGAGGTAGGTGTGCAATGATCTTATGTGTGGAAAATGTCTCTTTTATTTGCCGCCTTATACTGTTTAGTGGCCAAGAACTGAAGGTGTGTAGAAAGGGCTGGATTGATAATCTGGGCATTTTACCCGGTCAAATTTGGTACATTCATAGGGGAGATTGAGTCTCTAACCCTGGTCCTGGAGAACCCCCAACAGTACACACTTTGGATGTCTCTCTCATCTGATGCAAACATTTCAGGTCCCTATTAAATGAGTAGGGTTGAGTAACAAAACCCGGGCCAATATGGCACCGGTACCTATGTAACCAGTATGTACTAGAACCGAATCAGAACGCAGATTTCAGTGCCACTTAAATGCCTGAGCGATCGATTGAAATATTTGTCCTGGTTCTCAGAAATGGACGTAAGAAGCATGGGCGTCGCAAGGCCATTTTTAGCGGGGCTATAGCGATTAGCTCCATAAACTGTACACAAATTCGTGATCGCCTCAGAGTCAGTCCCCTTTAAATTTCATATGAAAAGGGCGGCAGACTTCGTCTCCTCCCCATCTTTCAGCGCGCTCTTCAATCCACAGCGTGAGCAGACTCAAACAGAAACAGAGGACACACGGTGTGTTTATCGATAGATTGTTATAATATCTGTATCTGTGCAGTTCTTTGTCATACATACAGTTTACAAAAGGTCACGAGGGAGCAATCGGTTTCCCATCTAACGTTACTGTAAAGTTTTCACTGCGTTTACCCCTCATCACACCACAGCTGTTTCCTCCAGCGAAAATCTAGCCCTCTAGCATAAAATGATCATGTTGCTATTTTTATTTGAAAATGTTATATTTAATATAAAACATATTACAGTGCATGTGGCATACCATACAGTCATTCACAGAACTGATTAAAGACAGGACTCAATCAATTCACTCATTTGAACTAAATATCAGAGTGATTGACAGAGATACAGTAGGAACATTATGTGTGGTTTTGTATTAAATATTGTTTTGTATTAAATAATGACCCAGATCGTGAAATATATTTATTAGCCTTAGAGTAAGGGAAGCACAACTCGGGAAATGAGAGCATCCGAGGAGCACGTGAATGCTATGTATATTTATTTTAAATATTTTTAATGTTCTTTAATGTTATCCATTGTTGTTTTAGTTTTTTGTGTGGCACCGGTACCGTTTTAAAGTATCGATTTGGCACCGGTATCGTAAAAAAAAACAATCGATACCCAACCCTACTAATGAGCTGATGAGTTGAATCAGGTGTGTTTGTTTAGGGAGACATAAAAAGGTTTTGTTGTTCCTAAGTATAGAGTTGGGGTTACTCCAGGTTCTGGGGCTCGTTCTTCGTACGTCGCTAACTCAGTTAGATGGATTTGATTGTTGACGATTTGGCATGATCTTGGATTATTTGGTTTTTCGAAGCTCATCCTGGACTTGCTGTCATAGCAACAGCTCCGTAAGCTTAAACCTGCTCGGGACTGCCACTGCTACTCTATTACAAGAGTACACTACTAATCCGGGGACAATCATTTAAAATAATAGTAATTAATTAATTAGAAAATAATATTATAATGTTGTGTAATCTATAATACTATAGACAGCCAGTTTTACTCATTGAAATATTTATTCGTGATAAAATAATAACTTTATAATTGTATTGGAGACTTACACACATGCTGTACAGTTAATCTGAGTTGTGCATTAATTTGAGTGATGACAGATATTATGGCAGTGGCTTGATGGAGCGCAGGAGATGCACATAACATGATCTTGACCTTTAAGAAACTTTACTTAATGCGATCACATAACAAATCTGCTTCAAAGATAAAATGACATGAATTGCTAATTACAACATTGAATAAAAATGTAATATATGTACAAATATTAGAAATTGTGAATATAAATAATTAGGAATGTAAAAAAATAAAATAAAAACAGTGCACATTTCATTTATCTATTATAACATGTATGTAGTTTTGTTCACATGGCTGTTTCCTTATATAGGTCCAGGAATTTGTCAAGTTTTTCGTCAGATGTCTTTTTTAATTCTATGATGTCATTACGTTGCTGTCTCGCCACATTGCTGATCATGGTTTCGAGTATCGATACTGCCCTTTTCAATGAACATCTCAACACAGGGATCTGTCAAACTATCTCAGATGTGTTACGCGAGGTACGAAGAACGGACCCCAGGATTGGGAACCACTGCTATAATGCAAACAGCACCAAAATTACATTATGCTTCTTTTCAATAATTTCATAATCCATGTCATTTGGTTCCCTGGGGTCATGCCAGGTTCAGTGATACCAGTGGTTTCAAATTATGCCCAACTCAATATTACTTTTTTTTTTTGTATCACATGGCGACTGATACATGCCAAACCATATCAACAAATTCGCAAGTGAATAGGAAGTGAGGCTGTATCTTTAGATCACGTTGGTGTATTGAAATTCATTCCCAAGAATTTTCCTTTTTTAGATTAGAGAGACTAATCTTACAACTTACAACTAAAAGTTGTGGGCTGGGTCTGGAGAACTCTCGTCTCCGAGCTCTAGATCTCTCTGACAATGACGTGCAGGATTCTGGGATGAAGCAGCTCATGAACTCACTGAAGGATCCATCCTGTAAACTTGAGAAATTAAGGTTAGGCTTCAATTTTTAACATTTTCACAGCACTTGATTGGAGTGTTTGAGAGCTGTCTTTGTGTAAAACCGATAATATATTTTTGTTGTGATAATTATATTCAACTTTTATCCAACATAAAATTAACCTAACATGAGAAGTAGCAGAAATAAATTTAATTAACTAATGTGATTACAAAAAAACATAACTACGTTTTGTGTGCAGCCCTGTAATTTTTTAGTTTGACCTCCTGAGGTTAATAAAATTTACTGTAAGTTAAGCGACTTGTTAAAAAAAGAAAAAAAGACTTGCATAAAAAAGTTTGGCTTTTTAGGCTAGAAAATATCTTGTCATATGTACTGATAATGATTGATTAATCAACTCCTACATAACAGGTTTGAAATATGATGTCCATTCATTATCATGGAATTATAAATGAAACGTTTTTTGCCATATTCTCCAGGCTGTCTTGTTGCAGACTGACAGATAAGGGTTTCTCGTCTCTGGCTTCAGCTCTGAGATCAAACCCCTCCGGCCTAAAAGAGCTCGATTTGAGCAAAAATTTCCCTGGATGCACTGGAATAATGCAGCTTTTTACAGTCCTTAGAGAAAACACTGCTCTCGAAAAGCTGTGGTCAGTATTTGCCTTAAGGCTGGATGGTTGCATCAAGTATATCAAATAAAAGTCTTACACTTTTAAAGATTATAATTGTTTTGAATTCTATATCTCTGCAGTCTAGACTCTTGTGAACTCACTCCAGATATGTGCGGTTCAGCAGCTAAAGGTCTGAGCCAAAGCTTAAACCTGAACGAGTTGAACCTAAGCAACAGCAACCTAAAAGATGAAGGTGTTCGGCTGCTTTGTCTTCGACTACAGGAAGGCAGTTGTGCGATGAAGTCTTTAAAGTAAGATTAAATAATCATTGACTTTGACATTTTATCTATGTAAACAAACAGAGAATGCATATTTAGGAATTATAAAATCTTCATTTTTTTTCATCTGTTTTCATTTTAGATTATCCAACTGTGGTCTCACTGACAGCAGCTGTCAATACTTGGCTTCAGTTCTTAGTTGTCAGTCCATATCTGTTGAGCTGGACCTGAGCAGAGACGCCATCAGCCAGCAGAAGGAGCAGTTTCTGATTTCTATATCAAACATCAATCTTTTATTCTAGTTTATATGCAAGTGTTGTGTCACATTTTTGCAGGTGAAGGTTTCGGATCTTCAGCAAGCCGTGGAGACTGTAGATATTAAGGTTACACTTTATTTCGATAGTCCACTTTAGACATTCTACTAACTATATGTAACTTCGTAACTACATGTCAACTACATGTCAACTAATTCTCATTAATTTGCAACTACATGTCTACTAACTCTCAGAGTAGACTGTTAGGGTAGGTTTAGGGTTAGTAGAATAACTTGACAAAGAAAGTGTTAGAAGATATTAAGCAGACAGTCTACTAATACTCTATTAACTACTAGTTGACATGTAGTTACAAAGTTACTTACTGTTAATAGAATGTCTAAAGTGGACTATCAAAATAAAGTGTTACCGATATTAATGTATGGTTGCTGGCGGAAAATGTGTCAATGAAATGGATTAGAATGTAGAGAAGACAAAATAAAGGCATGCATATGGTGCAGTTTGTGCAGCAATGTCATTGTATAATTTCTTCACTGTTCATTATGTAGTGTGCGATTGCTGTGGGAAATGTGTGAGCTCACTGAGGAACGCTGGAGGCGTGTCTTTTAAGTGGGTGGTTAAAAACTCTCTCCTGAATGCTGAAAGATCACTGCACACATCTTACAGAAATGCACTCATTCAGAGAGACTGATGAATGGAGAGGGATGGAGACATGCATGAGCATGAGGACAGATAAAGAGAAGCCATAGAGAGTGACAGCAGTGCAGAGGGAGAGATGATTATGCCATATATGTATCTGCTGCAGACGTTCGGCTTATTCATGGATGTACAGAAAGGAAGAAAGAAAAGAAGTAAAGCACAAAAAGAGAAACTAGGATACGGCTCACACTGAGGAATTCAAACAAGCAAAGAACAGCACCGAAAGAATAAATCAAGACGACGAAAACAATCCTGCAACAGAAACCGGCAAGTCACTACTTTTGTTGTTTAGAGCATTTATTAAACAGGTTCAAAGGTGCTGCATTTTTCTGGTTTTGTCATCAGTTGTGTAACTTTTTAATAAAAGATGCTTTTCAAAGATATCAGAGATTATATTAATTAATTAATTAATTAATTAATTTGGCTAAGATCAGGTCTCGTGTTTTTCATGTGTTGAAAATGCAAAGAAATAGTTTCGAAAAAATTTTTTTTTTATCATTTATTCCCCCTCATGTTGTTTCAAACCCCACAATAAAAGAAACGCATAAGTAACAACTCAAGATTTGGTTCTGTTTCTCACACAAATCTTTTGCAAGACTTTTAATAGTGCACAAGTCATATGGATCACCATCATGATACTTTTAATGTGCGTTTCTGTCATTTCTGGAGTTTCACAGCCTCAGTTCACATTTACTTTTATTGTATGAAAAAAGCAAAAAAAGCAAACACACCACAAAAGAAAGACATATGGGTTTGGAAAAACATGAGAGTTCGTAATCGATTAGTTTTCATTTTTTGGTTGAGCTTGTCCTTTAACAGACTGCAGTATTGAGAGTTGAGTGTGTTGTCACAGTAACAGTGTTTGTCTCTCAAGGGAGGATGTTTGGTGCTATCATTTCACACTTCTGCTGAACGTCACAGATGTTTAATTTGCAGTCTCCATCTCAAACCACATTTAAGAGCGTATAAATGTGTGTTACGGCCCAATCTGCTGTCACAGCTGTGCTTGGCTCATCAGTACAACTATGAAGGACAGATTTCTAAAAATATAAATTCTTTTGGGAACGGTGATATGATTTTCGACACTTTTTGTTTATAGAGATTCACTTAAACCTGATCTCTGTATCTTTCACATGAGCACCGCAGCTTAGCAAGACCAAGTCCCAATGGCCTGTATTACTTGTATGGTTTCAGAATGGTTTATTTGAGTGCTAAAAATCAGCTGGTCTCAATATTTGGGTGGCAAAATTCAGAAAGCCAAAGATGAGCACACCAGCATGGATGTAGTCCAACTCTCTTGTGTCTCTCAACATGTGCTTGTTTGCTCTTCTGTGCATTACCAGATGTATTTTGCTAATTTTATAAACTTAACAAAATCACAATTTCATGGCTCAAAATCTCCAAATATCACAAAAAGCCTTAGAATATATATATATATATATATATATATATATATATATATATCACGCCTCAGTTTATTTGCAGCATTCCAGGTCAACCAGGAGCACCGGGAAGGACCGGACCCCCTGGGCCTCGTGGGGAGGATGGCCATGTCGGAATCCCAGGAAGAGATGGGAGGGAAGGGCGGAAGGGGGAAAAGGGAGAAAAAGGAGAACCAGGTAGAGGAATTACCTAACCAACTGAATGGTTTTTCAGGCAAAGCTAGTCTAGAATGGTGTGAAAGATCACAAAATGTTTGCCGCTAAAGTTAACTGAAAATGATTCTAGGTCAAGGTTCCTCAAATCTGACATTGAAAGGACGCTGCCATGCAGGGTTTAGATTAAACCCTGATCAAACTCACCTACCTGCTACTCTTGCAGTGTCTCAATTCAATAGCTGTGCCCTTCACAAGTCACATTTGTCGGGAGCATACATTATTGAGGCTGCCTCAATACAGAAAAGTCATCATTACATTACAAAGTAAGAAAGAAATACAGTAATTAATGAATTTTCTGAAATGAGACATCCTCATGCAGCTGACAAATGTGACGTCCAGAAGGCACAGCCTTCGAAATGAGAGACTTTACAGGACAGTGGCTCTCCAGGGACAGATTTGAGGAACCCTGTTCTAGGTTTTTCTCCTCATTCTGCTCTTTGGTACAATTTTAGTCTTTAGCTTTACTCTTGATCCAGATATAGCTTGATCTTGATTGGCTGGTTCAGGTGTGTTTGATTAGGATCGGAACTAAACTCTGCAAGAAAGTGGACCTCGAGGGCCAGAGTTGAGAACCCTTGCAGTAGAACAGGGGTGTCAAATTCAGTTCCTGGAGGGCCACTGTCCTGTAGAGTTCAGCTCCCCAGTTAAACACACCTAATCCAGCTAATAAAGGTATTCAGGGTTACTAGAAGTGCAGAACAGTGGCCCTCCAGGAACTGAATTTGACACCCCTGTTCTACTGCAAGGGTTCTCAACTCTGGTCCTCGAGGTCCACTTTCTTGCAGAGTTTAGTTTGACACATGCGCGGTAGAACATGTCTGGATGTTTGCTTCAGTACATTTTCTGGTAAGTAATGACAGGTTATCACATTGTGAGAAATCACACACAGATAAACATCCTGTTAAGGATGAGTGATATCTTACAGAATAAAGACCTGAAGGAATTTTTATGATGTGAATGGCAGATTTCTAGTCCTGGGAGAAATCGGAGTTAGAGAAAGATAGACATCATTGCATTTTATCGTTTCCAATCACATCCACATCAAAATATGTTACAGTCTGAGTATGATGTTTTTTTACTAATGATCATTTGATCTAAATCATTTCAGACGGGGCCAGTGCAATTGGGATGTTGTTTGAAAGGATTTGCTATCTAATATACTAATATACTATTTCCATTTTTAAAATGCAGTTGTATAGTAAAACATTTTTTTATAAAATATATGTCAGTCAGGTGTGCTATTTTTGAACGGAAGAACGTGTCCAGTGTGAATGGCCTCTAACTTGCTGCAAATCGCCGTTTATATTGTTGATGCAGAATACTGAAAATGAAAATGTTGTTACCTATCATAAAAATAAAAGTGAGATGCTTTTTGACACTGTTGTACATTCCTATTGTTACATAGTGTTGTGGACAGGAAGACAGGAAATTCGAAATAGTGATCAACACACAGTCTTTAATCCAAAATGCAAAGGCAAACAGAACAGACGAGAGTATACAACACCATAAACGTAAACGAGACCGGACCCTGAACGCAGGAAAAAAGGAGGAACTTAAAGTCCGCGTGAACCGGAAGTTGCTGCCGACTTTATTTCAGTGTAGTGATGTATTTCCATCTGAAACGGAATATTGAATAGAGGGCATGGTTTTATGCTTGCGCTCCTCCTCTCTGTCTCTCACTCATAGCAATCTAACGGTTGGAGGGGTGTGTTTAAGGATATTCTGCCCAAGCCGTCAAACTGACATCATCAGAAAAGGAATGCCATTCCAGAGCGGAAGTAAATGTTCAGATTTTGATTAAAGATTATGAAGACAAACTATTTTTTTCAGCGGATTAACTTGCACAGATTAATTGTTTACATCAAGACTAGCAATGTGCGCTAGTAAAGTAAATGAAGTCAATTCTGATTTCATGCAGACTTTAAGTATACTGACAAACTAGGTAAATTAACAAAACACAGCTGAACTGAAGAACTAATCGTATTAGTAACTATGACAATTAAAGAGCAGTGGGAAACATCCAAATCCAAAGTTAGCTTCACTTCCTGTCTCATGAGATACCTTCATCTGATTGATTTTTGAAGGCAGAATCGATGTATCCTTCGCTGCCTTTGATATCCCACAATCCTGTGCGTTCCGTTCTGTGATGGTTGAGCTAAAAAATAAAGACGGCGTCTGAAAGTTGCATTTGGTGGTCAGTTTGTGTGTAAATGTATATTTCTGACAAACGTTTTTGCACTTTTCATGTTAGTTCTAGCGAGAAATCAGTATTGTAGTAATTAATTATTTGTTTAGTTATCACCAAAACTCATTCTATTTTGTTGTAGATCATTATGCTGACTCAGAAGCCAGTCCGAAATCAGTTTCATGAGGTGCCTTCATGCAAAAACGCTGCCTGCAAAGTCATTGCCTGATAGGGCAGTCAGGCAGCTGCCTAGTCTTTCGGACGCAGCCCATGAAACTAACGAAAACAGCCTAAACGTTCATGAAACATAAACTAACAGAACATATCTGTGACACTTACATACATCCAATCCCCAAGATTAAAGGTTTCAACTGGGGATTTAACAGGTGTAGGGTGAAAATGTTAACTTTTTCCACATTTGTTTGGAAGTAAATTTCCCCACTTCTTCCATATTTTGCACATACCAGTATATAGCCCACAACATATTCAGACTCATAGATCCCACTTAAAAATATATATAAACATATTTTAGGTGTGGATTTTGTA